CAGGCAAGGTCGCAGAAACTGGGCTGAGGGTAGACACTGAAAGAAAAGTGAGGAGGAGCTCAGCATGGCTTGAGCAGGTGTCCATGCTAGACAGAAGCTGGAGATAAGGCTAAGAGTACATGGAGAGCCAGGAGTGAAAATGAATCCTATGGCCTGGGTCCTGTTCACAGCTAAAGGCCTCGTAAGCCAGATATCTCTTATTGGCCTAACATTTTTTCCTTTACTGTTTCTGCACATCTGTGCTGATCTCAGATATACCTAGGAGGATGTTTACATGGAGTGACCACAACCGTGGGTCAGTGCTCCTCTCCATTTCCACAGCACAGAGATTTTGCTAGAGGAGTAACCTCTTATTGGAGCAGAACAGAAAGAGCAGAGGTGGGAAGCTGCTCAGTCAGGCCAGGCAATGGTGTAGGAAGAAGGACTGACGAGGTCATCATCACCCACCCACTGCATTCCGCTTTGAGTGTCCCACTGTTCTGCCCAGAAGAAAGTATTTTCTCTTTAAAGAAATCTCAGTTGGCTCTTGCAGTTTCTGTTTTAAAATCCAACAAATTATGGCACAAGGGCTGGGAACATTATACAAGAAAAACATTCTCCTTGATATTCTTGCCAGCATGCGGAGGGGAGAAAAACCAATGAACAAACACAGTAAGTAAAAACAGCATTGATTCTAGAGCCACATCTACCTGAATTTTTTACCCCACCATGCTGATTTACCTCTTCTACCATTTCTCTTCATTATGGCTGAAAATACAATGCCTCCCTATGGATGAAATTATGAATGTAATTTTATTACGGAAAAATGTACAAAGAGGTCTAATCTAAGGCTGATTGTGAACAATATTATACATGATTGCTACTTCACTGTGCAACATTTCTAATATAATATGGAGTCTCAAAGAGTAGAGACCTAACTATTAATATAATGATAACTTAATGAGGGCAATTTCATACGATATCTTAAGGTTAAAAAAGCGGCAAAAAGAATCTTAAGCACAAAGATAAAAGATATTTGAACATACAGTACTCTCCACTTAAAGTAAAAGAGAGTCTTGTCTTTAGTACATAAATAAATTTTCTTTCACTTGTAAACTGAAAGCTTGAAAGGATAATTGTACTATAAGGTACATCAGGCATACTTTACAGGATTACAGTGCTGGGCCATCAATATTGACCTTATCTACACAAAAGGCTTTTATATTAGGATGTCAAGGAAATGTACTAGGTTCGTTTAAAAACAAATCCTTCAATATTCGGTAATAGAACTATGAGGTGAGTACTCTTTGCTTTATTATGCTTTTGCTCAATGCTTTAAAAAAAACACATAGCAATAGGCTTGCTATAAAAACAATGATATTTCAAAATGAAACTTTCCTCTACTGAGAACCAGAGAAAAAAAATGCATCCATTTGCTAAAGGTGCTGCTTAGCTACACTTCACTTATGCACATTTTAGGTTAATTGATAGGACACACAGACAAGAGTTCTATAAACCATTTTACTGAGCATACATCCTGATTATAATGTCATGTTAAGAAATGGAGTGCAATCTGTCTTCATGTCATATTTAATAGATTTCTAGTAAATAGCCCACAAGTGCTCTTTCTAACAGGTGATGAATTATATTAATGCCCTGTTGTACTTTCCTAATTAAGGGTCTGGCAGCATTTTCATTATAATCAAGTCTTGAGATTGGAAACAAAAGGAATGGTTTTCATGTTTCCTGGATCTGACTACAGTGCTCCTCTCATGCCCCACTGCTACGTTTGGCCATGGGGAATACACCTATAAGGTTGTTCTCAGAAATAAAAGCTAAGGAGATAGCTAAAAATTTTCTTAGCAATCCATTATAAGTCATTCTTCCCCCCCACCCCACCCTGGTTTTCTATCTCCTTCAGTCAGCCTCTGCTTCTCCCCTTTCTTATTAATTCGTAGAAGTCTTATTCTCTTCATCTGGGCTGGACTTGATGGCTTTTCTTTGACGCTATGTCCTTATTGAGATGTGGTGTTGTACTGCTGTTTCCTCCAAGCTGCATGCTGTCAGTTTTTGTTTTGTTTTGTTTTGTTTGAGGTATGTGTCTCACTCTGTGGCAGGATCATAGTTCACTAAAGCCTCAATCTCCCAAGCTCCAGTGATCTTCCTGTCTCAGCATCCTGAGTAGCCAGGACTACAGGTGTGTGTCACCATGCTGAGTTATTTTTTTTTTCTTTAGTAGAGATGAGGTCTTGCTATGTTGCCCAGGTTGGTCTCAAACTCCTGAACTCAAGTGATCCTCCCACCTCAGCCTCCCAAAGTGCTGAGATTACAGGCATGAGCCACTGAGCCCAGTATTCTTTGTGTTTTGCATAACAAGGAACAAACTTCATTAAAAAAAAATACTGAGATGGCAAAGAGAGAGAGGGATATGGTTGATGGGGAACTTCTCTTCACAAAACTGACACAAATTTACCAGAAATTCATAGAATAAAACCATATCCTCTTGGGTCAATCCCAAAGAAGTGTTTCTAATGATAAGAATGTTAATCCAAGCACTTTGGAGGACAAGGCGGCGGATCACCTGAGGTTGGGAGTTCAAGACCAGCCTGACCAACATGGTGAAACCCTGTCTTTAAAAAATATGAAAACTAAAAAAAAAAAAAAAAAAAAAATGTTAGAACACCCAAGCCAGGAGAGGAGGGCGAAGTCCGGAGAGGACTGGCATCTTTGTTGTATTCCCCAAATTATTTTGGGTAGATGCATCATACTCCACTTTCATTAACACATCAGAAATAGAAATGGAAGAGACTGGGCATTGTAGGGAATGATAGAGCGAGGGAGATAGGAAGAAGAGGACACAGTGAGAACAAAGGTGGAGAGGGTATCCTGGATTGGTTTTACGTGTTTTGCAGTGAAGAAAACGACATGCAGAAAAAAAAAAAAAAAAAAAGGAAATGGGGTTACCAACTCTGCTCCTTAAACATAAGTGATTTTTATAAGTCTTCCTATATTTGTATATTCTTTATATTCTTATAATTTCTATCACAGGCAGACTATCAAGTGAGCAGGCTTGGCCTTGGGGGTTAGTATTGCTAAGATTTTTATTTTCAGCTTTTCCCCTTATGAGATGGTTGCATCAAATTGGACAAGTTATATAGAGGTAATATCAGTAACTTTCCACAGCTATCATAAAGGTAAGCTCAGATATTTAAAACACGTCCAGGAATCACAGTCCCATTTCCATTTCCCTAAAGTTTCAAGGTATTAAATTATGTCAATCTATAACAAATTGTACAACATTTTAATGAAATTCATACAGAGTATATTACTATTAACAAGTGAGCACATATTGTTGGAATGACAATATTAACAAAGATCTAGTCTCCCGTGCTGATGCTGATGAGGTCCGCAGGGTTACTCAGGATCTAGTTCCAGGGTATAGTAAGCCAGCTACACAACTTCAGTTCCTGAATGCCTGTGAGTTCCTGGGACCTACTTGCTATAGCATACACTGCATCCTTCTAATGTCCTCTCCCTGTACTTGCTTAAACCCAAGCATGGCTTTGTTTCTTGCAACCAAAATATACTAAAATCCACTGAACCAAAGTCAAATACAAATTAAAAATGGCTACCATGCCATCTAAATTCCTACTTGTTTGGCACTGGAATTATATGACCACAGAGAAAAAAATAATTTGTTATGCTTTTAAGATAGATAAGATATACTTAAATATTGAGAAATGCTATTCAGTAAACTATCATTCATTTTGGCACATGATAAGGATACTGTGCATAGAATCCTTCTATGTGCAATTTGGGGCAAAAAGCACAAGAGTATTTTTGTTGAAGTTGCATATACTTTTCTAGAGCAAAAACTTTATACCTACGTTTTGTAGAAAATCAAAATGAATTAGTATGGTGTATACAATAACCTACTATGTCATCGTGCCAGAAGTTTGACCAATTCCTTTTCATGGAAGTTTGAAAATGTCAAGTTCATTTTTAAACCCATGGCTAGTTTCATCTACTTTAAACCAAAAGTGACAAAATAGGAACTGACTGGGGGGAAAATTCTGCAATCCACTGTTCTTAATATTTGATAATCCATGTGAAGCAGGTTTACCACAAACTGCTGTGACAGAACAAAGATGACAGATAAACTCCTGTGACCAAATTAATTGGAAATAGATGCCTCAGTCTTGTGATCCTATTTCGGTTTTTGAAAGAATTATATGCACCTTCAGAGCATGCCACATCTAAGGATGATTAGTCCTTGTACTGCTGGCATCGGCTGATATGGCATGTGGCCAAGTGTCTCAAGAGAAAGCTAAAAGTTCAGTGGAGGTGCTGCAGACTGTGTAGTTATTCCAGGATTACCTTGGAGAACACTCTGTCTTTTCTGTTGAAAGCTTGTCAGAGTTTGATATCTATTCTCTCTTGTGCCTATGATGTGTATTTTCAGATTGCCCTAAGTGGACCTTCTTAAATTAGTCTCTTGTTTACTTCATATTTTTCTACACTGCTGCGAAACATAGTGTAAAATAACTTTGATCATTTTATCAGGTCATCTATATCCACATACCTCTCCTCACCTTTGTTATGATTCATATACATCTGAATGATCTCATATTAAACTTTGGCAACTACTCCAAATGTGAACTCTTAATGTTTTCTATTTGTCAAAAAACAATAACATCATCCAAGAGGCAAATGGTCAGCTGTTTATAAATACAAATTGCTAATTTTAAACAAATCATAATCTCTCTTGGATTTGCATCAAAATAATCCAGTGTGTGGGAAGAGAGCAGGGAAGCTGAGAGTGTAGATGAAACAAGTTTAGCTGTCTATTGGTGACATTAAAGCTGGGCTATGTATACAGGGCTTCATCATAGTCTTCTGTAGACGATTGCTAATGTTTGAAAAATTCCATTATAAAATCAGTTTAAAGACACAAAACCTAACAACTTAGAAAATTATAGTAATAATATATGTGGCTAAAATAAGTGACTTTTTTTTTTTACAGTCCAGAGGTCTTTTATTTATTTTTTTAACACCTATTATGCCATGAATTCATAGGGAATAGGTTCCAGCAGCTCAGGCTCCTTCCCATTGGTTCTCACAAAGTGTGCTTCTCTGGGTGGAGCAGGCTGTCGCTTCAGTTGGACCCAGGTACCTTTCTCTTCGGCTTCCTTCTTTTTCTGATCATTTTCCTTCACACGTTTTAGGAAGCTATCTCGGCTCTTAGAGTGCTTGATGTGCTCAATACGCACATTAATTCTCTTGGCAAGAATCTTGCCCTTAACTTGTTTGTTTACAACAATGCCAACAGCATGCTGGGTAGCATTGTAGACTCTTCTAGTTTTGCCATGATAACATTTGTGGGGCATCCCTTTTTGCACAGTACCCATTCCCTTGATGTCTACAATATCACCTTTCTTATAGATTCGCATATACATGGCCAAAGGAACAACTCCATGTTTTCTAAAAGGTCTAGAGAACATGTATCGAGTGCTTCTCCTCTTCCCCTTTGTGTTCGTCATTTTGGCGAATTACTGGAAGATGGCGGTTCCGGCCGAAAGGCATAAGTTACTCTTTTGACTAGATATATAATCTTCTAGATCATCAGTAATTGAATTTAAGCTACACAGCTAACCATAATAAATTTATGAGATAACCCATATCAGTAGCTGAAGTAGGTATTTTTGTGTCTAATACAGGTTTAAGTTTTTTATACTGATAAATATACTTCTTGCCTTGTTATGCCAACCATAACAAAGATAACATAAGAAAACCTGACATTAACAATTATTCTAAGAGACTTCTTTTGTTAGCATGTTTGACTTACAACCACAAATGATGTTAACCCTCACAAATTAATCTTTTTAAGGCTAAGAAAAATTATGATTAAATATAAAGAAAAAAGCAATTTAATCAAATGTTAGAACAACATAACACAAGCCTAACAGAATTTATATTAATGTATATTAATCATTTTGGTTGCAATATGAATAAGATTGCAAATATCTTCATTTATACTATAGAATTCAAATCCCAATGTGTCCTATCTTCCTTATCTCTTGAATATAACAAGGATACTTACTAAAACCAAGTAAACTGTTTTAAAAGACCAAAATCACATCACTTAAAATTGTAAGGTTAAAGTAGAATATTCTTTTAAATTACATTTTATTCAAATTATTTTAATAAGAACTTGATATTCTCATTTAAAAAATAAAAGCATATTTTACAATAGTGCACTATAAATTTCTGATTAGTAGAGTGGTACTAATTATTGATATTCTCATTTAAAAAATAAAGCATATTTTACAATAGTGCACTATAAATTTCTGATTAGTGTCATTATAAATATGCAGCCCTATTTATAATGACAATTTTCAAAATCATTAGTCACTGAAAACTTAAAAATTTATTCTAAGAATCAGATTGGAGGGTGGAAACATCTAATAAAAATGCAATTTTAACTTGGAAGATAAATTGTGGAAAAACTATAGGGTTGATCAATTCTTTTTCTAATTTTAATGCTACTGTAGTTTCCAAATGTTTACAGATATTTATTGACACCTTAAGCTGAAAATACTAATAAACTCAGGACAAAAATGTCACATACTTTTAAAAACCTTTATACATTTTTGACCAATGGGATTTAGAGAACAGTGGCTGAAAATGAACTAGCTCATTTGAGAAGACAGAGGAAAAGACAAGAGAGGGAATTTAAAGTATAAGATAGCACATACAATTGAGTTATCTTTTCTGTACAGCCCTTTGATTATTTTTAAAAAGTAGCATCAACATATTTTCTAAATGATCTTCAAAAACCAAAACCACATAAGGAATATGGATTTCAGCTTCTCACATCTGCTATTGCTTAATTTTTTAACCAACAATCACCTTTTCATAAAAAGAAATTTCAGATTCATAATGGTCAGGCAGGTGAATGAATTTTTCCTCCCTGGTGTTAAAACCTATCTTGAAAATAAGATTTTTATTTTAAAATAATAATGACTATCACTTGCAGAATGCAAATTGTTGAGCTGGGCACTTACTATAAGTTCATACTTGCACTCCTTCATAAATATTTCAGTTTTTTTCAGGTGAGTGAAGTGTTGAGTAGCTCAAGACACTCATCTAGTAAGATAGTTGCAATGGGTGGCCTGGCATGAGCCTTGCTCATGCTATTTGCATACTGTGTGTCCAGAAGATAAAATCTCTTCATGAAAAATCTTGTCTACTATTTTTAATTGATGTTTACAATAAAGATATTCAAAACCAAGAAATTTAGTGTAATTTAGCACATGTTGAATAGATGCTATGAAAACCCTGGTTGGGTATAAGAAAACTGGAAAAGAGTTTTTTAATACTGTTAGGATTGAGTGAGAAGCTCTGGTAAGGCCAAGCAATGAAAAATCTATACCATTTTAATAATAAAATAGAATTCTTTGGCCATGTTGAATTCATCACAGGACGTATTAGATGAAATTGAATTGGGTTCTGATAGCTGAGAGCATTATTTTGTAAATTAGTTAAATATTTATGTCTAAATATTGGTTAAAAGAGAGTACTGTTGCATTTATTTTATTTTTATACAGATTATATTTGAAAATGAACACACAAAAACTACCAATGATAATTTAAAAATCACCAATAAAAACAAGAATATCATCAGGTTTTCTCAATTTTAATGTATTTCTTCTTTTTAAAAATATAATTAAAATAATAAAGATCAAATGACAAAATATTCAGGAGTCCTCTTCAAATATATCCTGTGTATAATACTGTTACAACATCCTGAGTTCTGTGAGTAGTCTGAAACCAAGTAATTCTATATCTAAGAGTCTAGCAAGACAGTGCCTTTCAATTCATTACCACTTCTTTTTTTCCGCTGCAGAAACAGATTAATCTGGGAACAACACTTTCCCTCCACTTTTGTAATTAAAAAAATTGTTTTCAATCACCTTCTCTTGAAGATGTCATACAGAGTGTTAACACTTTCATAAGCAAAATCAACACCTTTAGAGCACTGAAAATTTGATATGAGTTGAAAATACAGGCTGCTACAAATAGTCCTTTCTCTACATTTAGTTTTAGAAATAGTATTTTTGCAAAGGACTAAATAAATCATTCTATTAAAATAAACGCAAGGCATTTAAATTAAATATTATCTACCACATATAAGGGAAACATCAAAGATTCAAATAATGGGTTCTATTGATAATAGATCAAATTTGGATGATTAGTTTTTAATTGTAAAAATCTTGCTTGAGTGAATTAAAAGGATGAAATTCTTTTATGATAGATATAGTGCTATCTTTACATTTCTTGGTCCATTAATTAAAAATGAATAAGAGAATGATGATCTGATGTTTTGTTTAGCTTAATCCAAGTAACTGCCCACCCTGGAATTTAACTCCAAGGCAAAATTTTCTCATAGTAATGAAAATGGCCAAGAAAGAATCTTGTATAAAGAGGCCAACTCTTAATAATACCTGATAATGAAGATCATAATCCCAAATGATTACTTTAACTCATATGCCTATTTGCCCATGGGATGTCTTCATTTTCTTTTTTCTCTTTTTATTGACATATAATAATTGTATATATTTATGGGGTACAGGTGACATTTTGATACATACATATATATAATGCACAATGATTAAGTCACGGTAATTGAGATATTCATCACCTCAAACATTTACCATTTCTTTGTGCCGGGAATATTCCAAATCTCTTCTAGCTATTTTGAAATATACAATATATTGTTGTTAACTATAGTTGTCCTACTATGCTATCAAACACTGCAACTTACTCCTTCCATTTTAATGTATTTTTGTATCCATTAACCAATCTTTCTTCATCTCTGACTACCCCTATCCCAGTCTCTGGTGACCACCATTCTACTCTCTACCTCTACAAATGAAATTTTTTTAGCTCCCACATACGAATAAGATCATGTGATATTTGTCCTTCTGTGCCTGGTTTACTTCACCTAACATAATGTCCTCCAGTTCCAACCATGTTTCTGCAAGTAATGGGATTTCATTCTTTTTTATGGCTGAATAATATTCCATTGTGAATATGTACCACATTTCCTTCATCCATTCAGCTGTTGATAGACACAAGTTAATTCTATATCTTGGTTACTGTGTATAGTGCTGTAATAGTAATAAAAGCACAGATTATCTCTTCCATAAACTGATTTACTTTCTCTTGGATACATACCCAGCCATAGGATTGCTGGATCATATGGTAGTTCTATTTTTAGTTTTTTTGGGAACCTCCATATTATTTTCCATAGTTGCTGTACTAATTGACATTCCCCAAGAAGGTGTTTTCATCAGAACATCTAAATAAAGGTGTATTTGCAGCTTGAAATATTTCTAGATAAATAATAAAGACATTGTGACTTCCTAAATTAACACAAATATAAAACTGGTTAATTTCTCCACCAGGTTTACTGATTGGAATTGTTCCAGGATTTCTATACAAAAAGGATCACCACTACTGGGCTTCAGAAGAAAGCTGCGAAGTTCTTTCCTTCTCATCCCCTAACCCCATTTCATTTCTCTCATAGAAGGAGGAGTGCAGATCTGAAACTGGATTCTGGGATGGTAACCGAGCAACATGTTCTAGGGATGAAACTTTCAAAAGAGGTAAGAGCTTTTCTTTATCTACTGTGGCTGTTCTTTCTCCTGGCCTCCTCCTGTGACTAGTCAGGTAACTTCAAGCTCCCTAACATCCCTCTACTTTCAGCTGGGGCATACAGAACTGGAGCTATTGCCCAAAGGAGACAAGGTCTGGGATAGTATGGATGGGTAGAGCTTTTTATTTCAACAGAGTTACTAATTATAAGATTGACATCTGGGAGCAGAAACTCATTTGGTCCTTAAGATAGAAGGACAATGTGTTTTTAAAATTAGAGTTCTGCATTAGCTTTGGTGCAAAAAAAAAAAGTTTATCATCATTTATTCATGTATTAATTGATTATTAAGTGAATAATGATTACAGCAAGCTCTAAAGTTGTTCTTCATAAATCTGAATTCTGGCTTCATCACTTAAAAACTGCATTACTTTGGGCAGGCTACTTATCTGTGCCTTAGCTTTCTTATCTGTAAAAATGGAACTAATAACAATAATAATGAATAATAAATCCCTAGCAGAAGAGTTGTGAGAATTAATTGTTAATAAATGTGAAACCCTTAAAAAGGGCTGGCATATAGCAAGTGCTCAATAAACATTAGTTACTATTATGAATAATTATTTAATATAAGAAGTAATGTTAGTCTTATTTGGCAAACTGCTAAGCAACAGAAGATCCAAACAGAAACATGAAAGACAAGGTCTCTGCCCCCAGGGAACCTATCTCATCGTATCTTGTGTATGCATCTTCTCAGAGACTGCAGGATTTGTCTCAGTCTCAGACTTCTGGAGGCGAAGTACCATCTTAATAACCATCTAATTTTATCCTTATAATAAACATAGACTCTCAGAATGATGCCAGGACCAAGACTGCAGCCAACTAGTTAAAATCTTTTGTTTCTATTTGAAAAGGGTTAGTTACAGAGGCTCTGAGCTAACACTGATGTGTGGCATCATCAAAAAGTAAACAGAAAAGTGTAGGTATAGTGTCAAAATGACCTAGTTAGATCACTGTCACTGTACCTCAAGAAAGATAAAGGATATGGGCAGTCTTAAAGATGGACAACTAAAGCTACTGAAGAGATAAGAACTTTCAGTGGTTACAGGGGCAGGGGACTAGCTCCATTCGATGCTGAGAAGTTTGGAAAAAACTGAGGAGATACTGAATGCAGCAGCGCCCTCATGAGAAGAAACCAACAAGAGAGCTGCTTTAGTTCCCTACAGCTCTTCAGTTTCACACCTGATTATTTGCCTTCTTATAAATAAATGCTCTTTTGTGGGGTGGGGTTAAGGTGGGAAGAGGTGGCCTGACTGAGTCGCTGTTTCTTAGTTCCTTATAATTAAAAGAGCTCATATCATGCTCATAGAAAGTTTTTCTCTACTGCTTCACTCCATTCCCTTTCTCAGTTGAGACTGTTTCCTTTCTACTATATTTAGAGCCTATACTGGTTTTGGAGTGTCAGAAGGAAGATTGTGTTGGCCTTGCAAGTTACTGTGTTCTTGCCCAGCAGGGCTACAACAGAGAGACAGGGTGGCCACTAGAGTTTGCAGACCGGCTACATGCATCCTTCCTATTCCCCAGAAATAACCTGCTCTTTCAGATCTAAGTTTCTCTTGCTATTTCATCTCTTTCTATCTTTGGTATTTAAATACTGCTTATGCTGGGAGAAGAACAATCCTGCATGGTTTATCTGCTGTTTTATAATATCCTTTCATCAGCTTGGAAAATGAGGAGTCAACATAATTTATTTTCAGGGGTACCCTATATAAAACCCACTTTAAAATATCTAAGCATATCATTCCATTGCTTAAGGTTGAGAGATTTAATCACAGTATTTAATAAAATAAAAACTAATTGATTAAATGAGTATTAGAATTTCTTCCAAATGAACTGAGAAGACAAATGAAATATGACTTTTGCCTGTTCATGTCTAACATATTGAGATAAAAATTATATATGTACACACACATATATATAAATTCTATATAATTATAACATAAATAATATTAATTTTGTGTGTGTGTGTGTGTGTGTGTGTGTGTGTGTAAAATGACTTTCAAAAATGTAAAATTAGGGCAGGTAGATGACCATTTAATGTTGGGATTTTCTTTATGATAAATAAGAAACAGGTAAAAATTACCTCTCTTTACAGAATTTAATGATCCATATATTTAGTCAAACTAGGATGGAATTAACTATTTATTATGGAAATAAAACATATCACTAACTAAATACCCTGATCTAACATGAAAGGTATAGTATTAAACACAGAACAGAGGGGACTCAAGATGGCGCTGTGAGAACAACCCAGGATTGGAGCCCGCATTGAATCCGCAAACGGTGAGTCAGTGCTGCATTTCCAGACTGATCTTTGTTGCCCACAGAACGGGGAAACTCCCAAGTATAAAAAGACACGGGACGCCAGGCAGTAGGTCTGCCTGGCGAAGCCGGCAGCCGGGGCGGCGGCGGCCGGCCCTACCCAGCAATCCCCACAGGGCGCGCTTGTCCGGGTGCCTTGTTGAACCGGCAGCCTGAGACTTGAGAGGGCTGGACTTGAGACTGAACGAGACTTGCACAGTAGCCCAGCCCAGGGGATTGCAGGGACAGATCGTTTGGGATACCCAGTGGGACGAACAAAACCGCGATTTCAAACTATCCCGGGCAGATGGTCCGAGATGCTCTGTGGGGGAGGGGCGTCCACCACTACGGAGGCAACCTGCCCCAACTGAGATACACACCCACTGCTGACGCAGCCAGCCGGTGCCGAGGCAACCCGCCCCAACTGAGATACACGCCCACTGCTGACGCAGCCAGCCGTTGCCGAGGCAACCCGTCCCTACTGAGATACACGCCCACTGCTGACGCAGCCTGCCATTGCTGAGGCAACACGCTACAACGAAGAGACTCCGCCGCAGGGCATGGCGGAGACCACAGCAGAGCCGGCAGGAACAGCGCGAATCACACAACAGCAGGGCGGAGCCTCGGCAGCCAAACAGTGGCTAGTCTGCCTTCGAGCTGGGCAGGACACCTGATCGGACATCCAAAAATAAAGCCCAAACCCCTCAACACAGAGCATTTGAGAAAAAAAAAAAGGGTTGTTTAATGAGCTGTGTTGCAGCAGAATCAAACATAGCAGCCTAACAGCCCTGAATGAACAACAGAGTGCACAGCTCAGCAATTAAACCCCTATAAAGTACAAACTGTCTCCACAAGCAGCACCCTGACCCCTCTATATCCAAAAGACTGTCATTAGGCAGGCATCATCCTGGGACAAAGAGAGCAGAAAAAGAAACTGGTAGCATCCCTCGCTGTGCCACGGCTACTAGAGGTGCACCCCAGACAAGCAGGGTCTGGAGCGGACCTCAACAGTCATACAGCGAAGGGGCTAGACTGGTAGAAGGAAAACCAAGCAACAGAAATACTTCATCATCAACATTCTGGGTGTCCACTCAGAGACCCAAATGAAAAGTCAGCAACTACGCAGACGACCAGCGGACAAATCCACAAAGATGGGAAGAAACCAGCGCAAAAAGGAGGAAAACACCTGAAACCAGAACACATCGCCTCCTAGAAAGGACCAAAACTCCTCACCAGCAAGGGAACAAAGCTGGACGGAGAATGACTGTGACGAAATGACGGAATTAGACTTCAGAAGATGGATAATGAGAAACTTTTGTGAGCTAAAAGATCATGTATTAAATCAATGCAAAGAAACTAAGAACCTTGAAAAAAGATTTGAAAAAAGATTCGAGGAAATGATAACAAGAATGGATACCTTAGAGAGGAATATGAATGAATTAAAGGAGCTGAAAAACACAATACGAGAACTTCGCGAAGCAAACGCAAGTTTCAATAGCCGAATTGACCAAGCAGAAGAAAGAATATCTGAAGTCGAAGACCAACTCAATGAAATAAAACGAGAAACCAAGATCAGAGAAAAAAGCGCAAAAAGGAATGAACAAAGACTCCAAGAAATGTGGGACTATGTGAAAAGACCTAACCTATGTTTGATAGGTGTACCAGAAGGGGACGAAGAGAATGAATCCCAGCTGGAAAATACTCTTCAGGACATCATCCAGGAAAATTTCCCCCACCTAGCAAGACAAGCCAACACTCAATTGCAGGAAATACAGAGAACACCACAAAGATATTCCGCAAGAAGAGCAACCCCAAGGCACATAATCGTCAGATTCAATAGGGTTGAAATAAAGGAGAGAATACTAAGGGCAGCCAGAGAGAAAGGTCGGGTCACCCACAAAGGGAAGCCCATCAGACTCACAGCAGATCTCTCGGCAGAAACACTACAAGCCAGAAGAGAGTGGGGGCCAATATTCAACATTCTTAAAGAAAAGAACTTTCAACCCAGAATTTCATATCCAGCCAAACTGAGCTTCAGAAGTGAAGGAAGAACAAAATCCTTTGCGAACAAGCAAGTACTCAGAGATTTTGTCACCACCAGGCCTGCTTTACAAGAGCTCCTAAAAGAGGCACTACACATAGAAAGGATCAATCAGTACCAGCCATTCCAAAATCACACTGAATGCTAAAGAGCTTCAACATAATGAAGAATCTACAACAACTAACAGGCAAAACAGCCACTTAGCATCAAAATGGCAGTATCAAATTCACACATAACAATATTAACCCTAAATGTAAATGGACTAAATGCACCAATCAAAAGACACAGACTGGCAAATTGGGTAAAAATCCAAAACCCATCAGTGTGCTGTATCCAGGAAACCCATCTCACATGCAAGGATACACAAAGGCTCAAAATAAAGGGATGGAGGAAGATTTACCAAGCTAATGGAAAGCAAAAAAAAGCAGGAGTTGCAATTCTCATCTCTGATAAAATAGACTTTAAAGCAACAAAGATCAAAAGAGACAAAGAAGGTCATTACATAATGGTAAAAGGATCGATACAACAAGAAGAGCTAACGATCCTAAACATATATGGACCCAACACAGGAGCACCCAGATACATAAGGCAAGTTCTTAATGACTTACAGAAGGACTTAGACTCCCACACAATAATAGTGGGAGACTTTAACACTCCACTGTCAATACTAGACAGATCAACCAGACAGAAAATCAACAAGGATACCCAGGGCTTGAACTCAGACCTGGAGCAAGCAAACCTGGTGGACATTTACAGAACTCTCCACCCCAAATCCACAGAATACACATTCTTCTCAGCACCACATCACACCTACTCTAAAATTGACCACATAATTGGAAGTAAAGCACTGCTCAACAAATGCAAAACAACTGAAATCATAACAAACAGCCTCTCAGACCATAGTGCAATCAAGTTAGAACTCAGAATTCAGAAACCGACCCAGAACCACACAGCTTCATGGAAACTGAACAACTGGCTCTTGAATGTTGACTGGGTAAACAACGAAATGAAGGCAGAAATAAAGAAGTTCTTCGAAACCAATGAGAACGAAGACACAACGTGCCAGAACCTCTGGGACACATTTAAAGCAGTCTCTAGAGGAAAGTATATAGCAATAAGTGCCCATATGAGGAGAATGGAGAGATCCAAAATTGACACCCTATCGTCAAAATTGAAAGAGCTAGAGGAGCAAGATCAAAAAAAATCAAAACCCAGCAGAAGACAAGAAATTACTAAGATCAGAGCTGAGCTGAAGGAGATTGAGACACGAAAAACCCTTCAAAAAATCAATAAATCCAAGAGCTGGTTTTTTGAAAAGATCAACAAAATAGACAGACCACTAGCCAGATTGATTAAAAATAAAAGAGAGAACAACCAAATAGATGCAATAAAAAATGATAAAGGGGAAATCACCACAGATTCCACAGAAATTCAAACCATCATCAGAGAATATTACAAACAACTCTATGCACATAAACTAGTAAACCTGGAAGAAATGGATAAATTCCTGGACTCCTGTGTCCTCCCAAGCCTAAACCAGGAGGAAGCTGAAACTATGAATAGACCAATAACAAGGTCTGAAGTTGAGGCAGCAATTAAGAACCTACCTCACAAAAAAAGCCCAGGTCCAGACGGGTTCACAGCCGAATTCTACCAGAGACACAAGGAGGAGCTGGTACCATTCCTTCTAAAACTATTTCAAACAATCCAAAAAGAGGGAATCCTTCCCAAATCATTTTATGAGACCAACATCATCCTGATACCAAAACCCGGCAGAGACCCAACGAGAAAAGAAAACTTCAGGCCAATATCCAAGATGAACATAGATGCAAAAATCTTCAATAAAATATTGGCAAGCCGATTGCAACAGCAAATCAAAAAACTTATTCATCATGATCAAGTAGGATTCATCCCAGGGATGCAAGGCTGGTTCAACATACGCAAGTCTATCAACGTAATTCACCACATAAATAGAACCAAAAACAAAAACCACATGATTATCTCAATTGACGCAGAGAAGGCATTTGACAAAATTCAACAGCCCTTTATGCTAAAAACCCTCAATAAACTCAGTATTGATGGAACGTATCTCAAAGTAATAAAAGCTATTTATGACAAACCAACAGCCAATATCATACTGAATGGGCAAAAACTGGAAGCATTCCCTTTGAAATCCGGCACTAGACAAGGATGCCCTCTCTCACCACTCCTATTCAATATAGTACTGGAAGTTCTAGCCAGAGCAATCAGGCAAGAAAAAGAAATAAAGGGTATTCAAATAGGAAAGGTGGAAGCCAAATTGTCTCTATTTGCAGACGACATGATAGTATACCTAGAAGACCCCATTGCCTCAGCCCAAAAACTCCTGAAACTGATAAACAACTTCAGCAAAGTCTCAGGATATAAAATCAATGTGCAAAAATCACAAGCATTCGTCTACACCAATAACAGACTTAAAGAAAGCCAAATCAAGAGCAAACTGCCATTTGCAATTGCTACAAAAAGAATAAAATACCTTGGAATACAACTCACAAGGAACATAAGGGACCTCTTCAAGGAGAACTACAAACCACTGCTCAACGAAATCAGAGAGGACACAAACAGATGGAGAAACATTCCATGTTCATGGTTAGGAAGAATTAATATCGTGAAAATGGCTATACTGCCCAAAGTAATTTACAGAATCAACGCTATCCCCATCAAGCTACCATTGACTTTCTTCACAGAACTGGAAAAAACCACCATGAACTTCATATGGAACCAAAAGAGAGCCCGCATAGCCAAGTCAATTCTAAGCAAAAAGAACACAGTGGGGGGCATCACACTACCGGATTTCAAACTATACTACAAGGCTACAGTAATCAAAACAGCATGGTACTGGTACCAAAACAGAGATATAGACCAATGGAACAAAACAGAGGCACCGGAGGCAACACAACAT